CCCCACCCCCAGTCAAACCAGTCCGCCCGGCCCACACCTGCACCTGGGCAGAGCTTCCCGACCCCGAGCTCCAAGCGGGGCCGTGCACAGCTGTTGACACGGCCGGGACCAGAGGCGCGACGTACGACAGACCGTGAGAACGCCAACTCCATGCTCCATGTCCTTCACCACCACCCTCCCCCTTCGCCAACAACAGCAGCCTTAGACGCGGCACGGCCGCCCAAAGCCTGCCCGACTCCGCCAGCAGTGTCTCTCTCCCGCCGACGCGGCACGGCTTATACTACATTGTTAGTGGGGCCATCCAGTCGCGACTGAGTTTGTCCGACCATCACAGCGATCCAAACGACCAATCCACAACAATCGCGTCTCCTGCAACCCACTACGACCGCTACGAACGTTGAAGACGGTTGGCCAAGACCCCAACTACTCTCCAAAGAGACTGGGTTCGTGATTCTGCCCCCGGTTCTCTGCCTCGACGCGTCTATATTTCGAAGAACTCTCCGGCAACCTACGACTGCGGGTAACGGCGACTGTTCTGCGGCCCTCACCCATCATTCTGCAGCCTGGTTTAGAGATAGATGGGAGGTATAACCCCAAGGGCCGTTGGCAATCGCAAATAACGTTTCCCCTGGTTCGGGCTGCCCAGGAAGCCATATTCCTGACCGCGACACACCCGGGATCCAGTCAATAATGGAGCTTCGGCACAATCCATAACGTCCTTATACCTCCTCTCAAACGCCAGTGCGTTTCTTCCGCGGGCTTGCCTGGCTTCTGAGGGAAAGCTCGACCTCCAGATCGACTGGCCGCGGGCTGATCCGACCTGATCCGTCGCGTTGGATCCGACACCATCTGTCTTGTCACTGCTATGCCGACCATACAGGTCGCGCCTGGCGCGTCAGACCTCCTCCAGAATGTTGCCGACACACTTGGGAAGGCGAGGAAAGTGATTGTCGTCACTGGGGCTGGCATTAGTACCAACTCGGGCATTCCTGTTCGTTGATCGAGCCTCCTACCGTTTTTGTATCATACTAACACATTCTAGGACTTTCGTTCCGAACATGGCCTCTACTCGCTTATACAAGCCCAGTTTGACAAGGCCGAGGTCTCGGGGAGCCTGAGGGACGATGACATATGTAGCAACGGTGACGACGCTGGGAGGCCCCCCAAGCGACGACGAATATCCAAGATTCAGGACCCAACATTTGCTAGTAGCCCGCCTCGCATAAGTTCGCCGCCGATCACCCAAGGTTCGGATGGACCATGCGCTCCACAAGATAGCACTATTGAAGTTGCGACGACAAGTGGCACTGCCACGTCTGCGGGCTCTACAACTCAGACGCAGAAATCTGTGCAAGTGCACCTAGCACCGGAGCAGCGCGAGCCACCCCAACGGGTCACACGATCTCGTGCTTCAACCATGCGTCCAACGTTACCGCGTCACATGACAGACGCGTCATCCCAGTCTTCCGGCTTGGAGGATTCAATATTCTCTACGCCTGAAATGTCAGGATTTTCGTCTCGAACCGATGGCTCATCGTCACCTGGACCTGCCGACCGCCCGACTGACGCCAAGACACCCGTCAAATCTCGTACGGGAGCCTTATTCAGTTCCTCGCCGCTCTCATCTCCGCCACCAATCCTATTTGATCCCTACGAGGAGTCCAGTGAATCTGCGGGCAGTGGGTCACAGTGCTCGGAGGACTCGGACTCGGATTCTGAGGACACTCAAGAATCGGACCTGCTAGCCTCGCAGACCTCTCAGCGAAGACTGCGCAACATGAAAGGGCGCGATCTATTTGACTGTAATATCTGGTCCGATCCACTCAAAACATCGGTCTTCTACCGCTTTGCAACGACACTAAGGCAGAAAGTGAGGGAGGTTGAACCAACGACAACACATCACTTCATCGCCCGTCTGCGCGACATTGGTAAGCTTACAAGGGTATATACACAAAATATTGATGAAATTGAAAAGAAGATTGGTCTCTCAACCGATCTCAACGTTGGCGCGGGCAACAAGCGAAGGAAATCAGCCAAGCAACAGCAGCTCGCCGACGAAAAGAATAGCGACGAAAGCCCCCCGCAGACACAGGGAGATGATGATCCCGGGGGGAAGGACAGCACACAATCATCTCAAACGCCTGAAAGTGGTGAAGGCGTCAAGCAGCGTCCTAGCACCACTCCGGATAAAGGTGTCGAATGCGTTTTCCTGCATGGATCACTACAATCGCTGCGTTGTTTTGTATGCGCTAAACTGTGCGACTGGGATCAAGACGAGCGCGAGAGCCTCACGCTATCGGGCGAACAGCCCGAGTGTCCTCACTGCGCGGGCGCCACGGCGGCGCGTCAAGAGAGGGGGAAAAGAGCTCTGGGCGTTGGCAAACTACGCCCGGACATTGTGTTGTACGGGGAGGAACATCCACAGTCCGATCTTATCTCACCTATTGTCCAGCATGACTTGTCCGTGGGGCCGGACCTACTCCTCGTGCTTGGTACGAGTCTGAGGGTGCATGGCCTCAAGGTCATGGTTCGAGAGTTTGCCAAGTCCGTCCATCAGAAAGGGGGAAAGGTGGTCTTCATTAATTTCACCAAACCTTCAGAAAGCATATGGGGCGACGTGATTGATTACTGGATTGAGTGGGACTGCGATGCTTGGGTCGACGACCTGAAGCAGCGAAAGCCAACCCTGTGGATGTCACCTGAAGCCATTGTGGAACATGAGAGATTGAAGCGTGAGGCGCTAGCGGAAAAGAAGAAGGAGACCATTGCCAACAAGAAACGAGAGAGCCTCGAAAACAAGAAGCGGGAAAGTATTGGAGAAAAGAAACGGGATGCAACCGGTGGGCAGAGGCCTCCCACCATCCAGATACCCGAGGATGCGCCCAAGCCGGAACCAAGGTCCGAACAAGAATCTCCGGCCCTCTCTGAGGTCAAGGTGCCCGCTAAGCCCAAGGAGCCTGCGAAGAACCCCCAAGCAGAGAGGAACGACTACAGCTGTGGTGCTTACTGCATGAGTAGAATAGCTGATGCTTTCTACACGATTCGCGGTGAGCAGTTTGACTTCTTCGGATTCACTTCGCGCCCTCAGCAGCCATCTGCAAAGCCGATGAAGGCTCCCGCTTCCAGAAAGCCTGCCGTCAAGAAACTTAGGCATTCCTTTCCTGCAATGCTTCCCACTCTTCGAGATTCAGCATCCACGACTGGCAGTCACAGGAAGCCCGCCGTGAGGACAGATCTGTTCTTTAGCCCAATGAGCAAAGACAGATATAACAAAGCTCGGAAACAACTTTCAAATAGCAGCCGGCCCCAAACTCCGCAGCGCATATCGCAGCTGAGTAACCGCTCAAGCTCTACTCTAGATGAACTGAGCAGTTTCACGTCTGAGTTTCAGTTGCGTGCCCCTGGAAGCATCGGATCTTCTCAACCTACCACCCTCCAGGCTCAACCAGCATCACAACAAGCAGGTGTGCCCCTGAAGCTCGGTCCAAGCTATACGCCCTCAGCTGCCGTAAGTGCAGCAGTCAAATCCAACCCGCGCATTCGCAAGCCTACGCGTAAGGCAAGAAGTAGTATGCCGAACACTCCAGTTCCTGCTCCTATGATAGAGCACCACCGACCTATGGCGTTACCGGTCCTGGGGGACAAGGAGAACATCTTACCACCATTCCGTGTTGGTCAGGAGAAGCTGTCCGGCCCACGATTGGCGACTATGGAGCCCGCCCTGAACCCTTCGCCACCGAACAGCCCACTTGACCAAGGGCCGTTGGCATCACTGTCGCCTAATCAACGGACATGGGGGCTGCAGCACTTTCGTCATCCCATGATGCTCAGCGGACCCTTGATCAAGCTGCCCTTCGCAGTCGGGAAGGAGGCGACACCGAGTCCCTCGGACCAGCTCGAGGAGGAGGCAGCAAAGGCGCTATCAGGGATGCGAATGTGCCGCTAGGAACGTGCACATTACCCCTTAAACCGCCAGGGCAGGGCGATGTAAGTGCAGGATTACGATAAACGAGTCGTCGGTTTACTTATATCCCACACACAGTGGCCCTCCTCGTACTTCGGAGGGATCATCATGATCTTTGGGCGTTTTGGAGTGAATGGAAGGCATTTGGCGCGCACTTTAGCCAATATATGATTTGATCAATCAAAGTAGACATCTCGTAACAGTTGGCTACCCGCGCTGTATCCGCGTGAATTAATGCCCAATGCCGCTATCTATGTGACGGCTCGAGTTTAGAAGCAGATAAGCCAGTCATGCTGGGACATATCTACACAATTCTGATACTTACGGTTTGGGTCTGTAAGAACCCAGGATATGTAATATGTAAGTCCTTGAAGCCTTGCTCGCCGAGGTGTTGGTCACATTCAGCCAGAAACTCACGTTTTAGACCGCACGCCTCGCCTCCCACTTTCATCATCTTGACGAGAGCGCCCAACGAGGAACTCGACTGGCGTCCCTTCCCGCCGTAGTTAGTCTCCCGGCTTTAGCAAGGAAAGCGAGGCGGACAGGTGAGGCGTAGTGTTTGCATTGACAATGATGCTCGTAAAAGCTCGGATGTAGACAATTCTCAAGACACCTATCAGCCCCTCAGGTAGAGGCTTGCGAGGATATCGAGCTGATTTAAGGTGATCGCTTGTGGTAAGAAGACGGACGCGGGAAAATTGATAGTATTTGTATCAAAGCCATGGAGCTGGGTAGTTATGCCTTTTCTGGCGAACTCAGGGTCCAGGGCGATAAGCCAGGTGCATTGCCACAGGCAAGGTCGGCGACTTTCACTGGCTGAGAGACTGCGACAGAGCTTTGCACATGAGGCTCACAGAGTGAGCGAATGGTATTCTGGACGAGTTGGTGCTGCATCGAGAATCTGGAACGCTCAGGGGCGCTTTCAACCTCGAGAGCGCCACGTTCTTCGACCTATTCTATGCTATCAATACCCGCGAGAGCGTCCAAAGTTTATAGCACTAGGGAAAATCAACAGAAACGGCTCTGGGAAAAGTATCAGTTGTTTGAAAATAGCGATAAGGTCCAATAATCGAGCAGCATCTGCTTCTGGCGTAATACGTTATCTTTGGCCATTTCGTCGCTTGGAACAGATGGTCCTGCTGCACACACCCAGATAAGTTTTATCGTCGGGATCCTACTGTAACAAAACATTGTAGTATGGAATGTACGTTAGCTGAAAGGCCAACACCATCTTCATATCTCGTCTCCTGACTCTTTGGAGAGTGACGATTGGAGCCACGTGGACAGCAGCCGGATGCGTCAGCTTCACTCGCTTAGTCCCAGGGACCCGTTGCCGACATTCGTCCCGGTTGTGATTACGTTCAGCGGGTTTCCAGCTCGGCGGTGGGCTCGCTCTTTCTGCAAGTCGTAACCGGCCGTACGATCGATCTGTCATGGAGTCAGGAAAAGACATGAACAGCATTGGATTCAAGAGCTCTGATCAGCCTAAAGCCAAGAATTGACGCTAATGATGCAGATTCACCGACTCACTCGAAGGAGGAAAATCTCTGCCAAAAGTAGCATGCTGCTAAAGCCATCATGGCAAGTGGAACGGTAGCGGCCAGGTATATCTATATCTTGTTCAAGAAGGATTTGTTGAAAATATCGCAGGTTGATCGAAGATGCCGGGCTGCCAGCCCAGAATGACAACGACGATGGTGGTAACAACAATGATAATGAAGACAGCACAGTCAATATTCGCAATACGACTAGTTCTGAGCACGCTGTAAACGATCGCTTTATTAATGCTCCAGGAGGATCTCGCGATGAGGATATGTTGCGGCTCGCTAATTGCTATGTCGCGACCGATGAGGCTTGAGCTGTTATGCTGCAGGTCTTTTGTTAATAGTAGCATAACTAAAGATGTTTGGCAACAGCACAACTTCCTCGAAAACTTGGAACCCGAGGACAACTCACATTTCCTTAACAAATGGCTACCCATTGCCGGTGGCATAACTCGTTACGCACTAACAGCTATGCCTCCCGGCATGCTAGGCATTGTGGCCAGCCCGCGACAGCCAAGACTTGTATCTTAGAGCAATCGCAGTCGCCGGTCCCCCAACCTCAACTGTTCAAAAACCGACTTCGGTGATGATAGTAACGTTGAGCTAAGCATTACATGATTCGGGCTTTGCTGTGTGACACAGCTTTTGGTGCGTCTTCTGTCACGATATAGGGGATATATAGAGGAGCGGAACAACGTTAATCCGGGGGATCACCCCCTATATAGCAGGCTCATCAGCCCATTTCTTTTGTAGCTCCTCAAGGATCAACTCAAGTCAATTCCCATACTCTCGCGCGCGTTTTAGTGTGACATCTTCGTCTTCGAAGAGAGGAGGACGTGCTAGCCAGATATTTGCAGCAATGCCAACATCAGTGCAGAGTGCATAATGGGTCTCATATGTGTATTCTGACATTGTACCACAATGTCAGAATATTTATTCCTTCGCTGTCAACATATCGAAATGTCTAGACTGACTACTGTATAATGCAGAATATTTGCCAGAAATGTAGCTGAAGATCAGAAGGGTAGGGAATGGACCAGTGCAAATCCTGGTAAATGGCTCGTAAATAGCCTGTGGTCGTATTTGATCTATGGTACATCCCGATTGAAGTCCTTCGTCCGAAAGGGCTGAAGTTGCTACTTCCGAATGATTGAGAGCGAATATTTGAGTAACATCTCGTTATGCGACAAAGGACTGTCTTCCAACTCCCACGTGGGGCACTCCCGTTTTTCGAGCTAGCCCAGTGGCAGAGACGCGGTAGAATAGTAGTGCTGCGCGTGTTTGATGGTAAGATGTCGCCAAAAGTAGATCTTGGAGTTCGGACTAGAAGTGGATATTGCGGCAGCAATATTAGTGCTTTGAGTATGATTTGAACACCACAAGAGCATCGTAGCACTAGTGGTTTAGTGGTAAAATCCATCGTTGCCATCGATGGGCCCCGCGTTCGATTCGCGGCTAGTGCAGAAAATTCTCCACCTACTTCAAGCGTCATTTACTTTCTTTAACTTTTTTTTTCCTTGTTCTTTTCTTCTTCTCTTGTGGCCGCACGGAGACAGACTAGACAGACTCGGGATACAAATGATGAGCCGTATAGCGGGCGAGAAATTCATTGCTGAGGCATCAGGCCAGCCCACTACTTATGTTCATTTATATTCCTTTGTATTCCACCTTCAGAATTCAGCCACTGTTTGTTCTTGGTCCATCAGGCCTATGAATAGTACGGATATGTGAGAAGGCATGCCTGTGTTCAACTGCTAATCAACTAAAGCAACTACCAAGCGTTATAAACGTTGAACAAGCTCGTTGATAATTAAAGAAGCAGTGTGGCTTGTATGCAAAAGTCGCATGTTTTATATGTTTTAAAGCTACCACCGTAGGAAAGCTTTCTTCCTTGATCTAGTGAATGATCGTTTTATCGAACGGAAGCACTGCTATTTATATGAATTTGTTTAACTAATGAGATAGTGCTTTGTTATTGTTCAAGCTCTTAAAGCTGGTGTATTATCCTAACCAAAGCAAGGCAGTTACGGCCTAGTGTGTGTAATATGTGTTTAACGGGATGTACAAATCGGAAGAGCCATCCCTAACTATATGCGTGTTTCACTTTAAAGAATGATTCTCAAGCTAAAGAGAGATCCATTTCCCGGAGAATATGACTTGTAGGTAATATCATAACACTTATAATGACATTCGCATAATGGCCCTTTCTTAATCTGTAAGCTTACTGCTATAGCCTTTGCTTTAACCAACTTTCGTATCGAGAAAATGAAGCGCTTGCTAGGCCAGTTGAGTTCAGTATCCTCGCGGTGCTTTACCCAATCCTCTATCGTTTCCCACTGCATCCACTGCCAGTTTCCACATTTCTCTGACTCAGGGTCCCGCCATTACATGTCAGCAACACTTCCCTCATTCTCGAATTCGGTAAATTAGAACAAGGAGTTGGAATATTACCTGTGGTTCAGATTGGGGATCAACCGACACGCACAGCACAACAATGTGATATAGTGTTTGCCTTCTTCGCTGAACACCGAGTTCGTCACAGCCACGATTTCAGTTGCCTTAACTTCAAATCGGTTTCCTCTAGCGTCTCACGCTATGCACATGTAAATATCTCTTCGCCATACTCTAGGTGGCTTCCGGAAAATAGTCATGTGCACTGACGGTGACTCCTAAGACGATTGGCAACGAGAAGTTCGCCAGTTGAGGAGCTGAGTATCAAGACGCCCACATCGATTCGCGGGTGGGATGGTAAAACGATCATGGCTAGAAGCGATGAAAAGTGACGAAGAGTGTCGACAAGGTGATCAAGTAGTGAACGCAGAAGAAGGGGGGATGGAAAGGGTTGATAGGATTTTATCAAGAGTCGACGCGGTGTGATACCCCAACTATACAGGCGACAAGCACCAGCAATGTGCGTTGCTATCAATATGATTGGGTTGTTGGCACTCCAACCTTGGCAGGTGTACATTTGTACATTGACTGGTATCGAATCCTTGCCAGAGCCTTCTACCGGAAGCAAATGGGAGTAACGCAGGAATAAGATTGCTTGATGCAGGTAGTTATTCATTGTAACCCAAGATCACATGTCTTAGAAGACCCTGCATCAAGACGCAAGGTAATATGCAGAGGGCGCAGTACGCAAATAACCCATTCTGGGAATTTACATGGATGAGCGCATCATGGAAATCTTTTCAGTGGATGTCTCTCACTAAACGAACGAAAGGTGGTGGAAACCCCATTATCACGGCGCAGCAGTACTTATGCAGATTCTAATATTCTAGTTCGCCAGTTTTAAGCGGTTTGAATACGTCGAACCAGAGACCATCTGCCTCCCCAAGTCTAAAATTCAATGTCGCGGAGGTCACGAGTCGTTGCATTAAGATATTATATATGTTAGCATTTGGTATAGGCTCCCAAAGAGAGAGAAATATGACCTGCCTCTCTCTGGAAAGCCTCAAGGCCTAGGAAAGCAAATTGTCTTGAGATGCGCTGTTGGTATCATAGTTGTGAAGATTGCAATTAATTCTTTCAATAGAATAGTGTACGTTGTCTCAAAATGCCTCGATAATTGCGCAGTTGGATATGATAATCTCAATGAACAAGAGAATCATTTTACTGAGGTTTTCTAACTTGATCGGCTGATTAATAGAGAGTTGCACTATAGTTGAGATGCGGCTCTTCCATCTACGGGGCTCAGCGTCCAGGATTTTCTAAAGGATCACCCTCATAAACACTGGTATGCTATTTGGTATTCCATCAAGGTGTTTGAATAGCTGTGGGAGACAGAGATGCCCTCCTGAGTTTTTGAGCACTCAACAGGGATAGGGAATCTCTCATCAGCCTGGCAATCATGGTCTTCTGCACCATTACTGGCATTTAGGCTTCACCCAATCGGCCTTTGGCTTCCTTTGCGGCCAGTTGTGCTCTCCGACTCTCGTCATCAGTAGATGGCAGGTTGACATCAAAGTCCTTTGCCTGAATGAGGCGGACAGTGCGGCGGCTTAGAAAGAAGGTGATTATAGTCGTTGTGTCGTGGTTCCTATCTACCATATACTTGCCCTCATCCGCGTGCCTGCGAGCTAGCACTTCTAGATCAGCGACGCGAGAAACATCCTCAAGGAAGGCTCTAATGCTCGTCGTATCCTTGTCCTCGCTGACTGATAATGGATTAATTTGGGCAAACAAGGGTTGCATGACAGCGAACATGCGACTGTCCCTAGGATTTGCGATGTTCCCAGCTCACGAGTCTAGAATATCGAATGGGTCGCCAAGGATGTACTTCTTGCGCCTGCCTAGCTGGACGAGATTGGCCTGCTGTTTCTCTCGGTCTGTGAGGTCGGTACACCCATTTTTGGCCCTTGACTGATGAGATGTTTTGCTTGTAGCTCCGAGGCGATATTCGGACGTCTTTTCATTCGGGCTGGATACCGAAGCGTCAGCGCGCAGCAGTGGCATTTGAGCTGCTATGAGTTTTGAGAGAGGTTCTGAGAGCGACGCGCTGCCTTGGAGGTTCAAGCCGTAGCTCTTGGATTTCCAAGAAGCCAAGTTAATGATGAACAGGATATGGCATCCAAAGCTGCCCCGGCACTGCGAAGAACCAGAGGGTTTTAGGCGAAGGGCAATCTAAAACCAACCTGAGAGTAGTCTGTCGAACTAGCAAAAATTCTAGGCATGTCTCTGGAGAGCTTCTATGCGACTTTCCAAGATCAGCGGCGAATGTGGAAAGAAGTCAGCTCGCATTGTGCTAGATGTTACAACAAGTGAAAGGAAAAGAGTTACTTGTTGCCCTGCGCCATAGTCCGAATTAACACCTTTGAAATTCAGGACTTGGTAGAGGAGGCATGTCACGTTTGTGCTGAGCTGGGGGGTCCCTCTCTGCAAGCCAACGACCAATAAACGCCTCCAGAAAGGCAAGCACCACGCCAACCGACCCATTTGTTTGCGAACATAGTATTCAGTAGTTGGGGAATCTAGGCTGAACCCGGCCGGAGGCTAGTCTTTCCATGTGCGGCCTTAAGAAGCCGAGCACAAGTTGATTGCGTATATTGCCTACCTCATCTAGTGACAGGGGCTAAATCATACAGAGACGCGGGCCCGTCTCTCCCTCCCTCCACACTCCACCTTCTTCCTCTTATCCCTTCATCTGTCTCTCATACAACCCCAACATAGCACATGTATCCCCATTCATTCTGAACACCCAACTGCACATTCTTTTCTCTAAGAGATGGCCGTTCTGAGCCCCTGCAGCCCTGATGACGACAACTAGCCGGCAGAGGTAGAGCATTGGTGCGCCGCACGAGAATTATAATAAAAACAGAAGACTAAAGTGGGGTGTGTTTCCCCGCCCTTCTCTTCCGTCATAAGTCATGAAAAAAAGCCTCCCAATTGATATCATAAATTGGCCATAGTTGCGTTTTTCATCACCCAAATCTAATCCAACAGATCGCCCCTACCTCTTGGCGGGAAACGCGGAGTCTAGACATGCCACAACCTAGTTTGACTGTTAGTACAATTTGGCACTTCACGGTATGGCAAGGCAGTAAAACTCACCGAAGGACCCCATGTTCCTTGGTTTTCTAGATACTGTCCCATACCCTTCATGAGCTCGATCTGCTCCTCCACCGTCAAGCCGGTAATGGCCAGCTCCATGACGTGGCCATAGGAAACCTTGTTGAGGGCGATAAAGGTATGGAAGTACATGTAGGCGAAGCAGCCCATGATGAACTGACAATCCATGCGATCCGTCATGCCACCGTGGCCGGGGATGGAGTCGCCAAAGTCCTTGATCTTAAAGGTACGCTTCAGGCCGGATGCGAAGAAACCGCCGAACGGGGCGATCAGGGAGGCAAAGGTGGCGATGACGATGGCGTGGAACTGGGCGGGTTCGGTCGTGAGCGAGAAGGTATGCTTCCACTGGTCGGGCAAGAAGTAGAGGTCCAGCTTGTACGTGTGGGGCAGGAAGACGGGGTTCGGGTCGCACTCGAGGCCGGTGAAGATGTTGGCGCCGAGGTCGTTGACGGGGCAGATGAAGTACTTGCTGCGCATCAGCAGGTTGGTGAAGAAGACGGCGAAGATGACGGTCATGACCCAGGCGCCGACGAAGCCCTCGACTGTCTTCTTGGGGGACAGCTTGATGAGCTGGGTGCGGCCAAAGGTGATGCCGCAGATGTAGGCGAAGATGTCGTTGGTGATGACGAGCGATGCCGGGAGGAAGAACCAGATCATGCCCTCGAAGACGTTGTTCATGATGAAGTGGGCCTGGACCACAATGAGGTACAGAGCCATGTGAGTCCAGGCAAAGTTGGTGAACTGGAACTTGAGGTGGCCGGCCTTGAGGCTGGCGACGAAGAAGACGAAGCCGACGACGTAGAGGATGAAGCTGATGAAGCGGTGGTGGGTGGCCAGGGGCAGCAGGACCTTGTCGACCAGGACGATGTGCTTGAAGTAGTAGATGACGCTCTCGCCGTAGAGGAAGTACATGGTGGTGGCCAGCCAGTACCAGTTGAGGGTCTTGGTGGCATTGATCTGGCGGGCGCGCGAGGGCACCGAGGCGATGGCGATGACCTCCTTGAAGGAGATGATCTGGATGGCGGTGATGACGCAGATGATGTAGATGTGGCCCATGAAGAGGGCGGCGAAGAAGCCGGCGATCATGACAAAGGTCCAGAAGGTGCGGGTTATGAAGTTGGCCTTCTTCTTCTCGTAGTCAGACTGCTGCGGCTGCTCGGCCGGCTTCTCGCTGATCTCGCCCAGCTGCGCGCCGGAGCGGGCGCGGGCTGGCGATCCGGAGCCGTCCTCACTGACCTCGCTCATGCTGGCGCGCCGGCCGTCGGCATGGCCGTTGCGGTGGGAGAACTTGACGCCGCGACGAGGTTTCGTCATCGTGGCCGTGGTGCTGTGGTAGAGAGAGGTGTGTGTGTATGTGTGTATGCGATGCGGGAACGGAGGACCTCGGGACCCTTGAGGCTTCGCTGGCAGGGCGGCGTTGCACGGGGCGGCGCTGACCTCTGAATGCTGACTGGCGGATCGATATTCCCGGCTCGGACAGCTCCCAGGAAGATGTGCGTCCGTTGTACTTGCAGGTCGGCCGTCGGTCGTGAGTGTCGCAGTCTCTCGGGCAGTCTCTCTCGCTGCGGGCTGGCCGTGGTCTTGGACGGGGAACTGGCTGCCCGGATCTGTGGGAAGTTTGGAGAAAGTGGAGCCAAGCGTGTTAACCCCGGGAACCTGTAGAGGTGATGTCGCCGGAACGGTCTGGCGTCGCTTCTTCTGACTTCTCGGTGCGCGAGGGACTGGAATCAAGAGCAATGCGACGTGATGCCTACAGTCAGATTTCCCGGTGCGGGAATAGGAGGATTGAGTCTTCAACAGTTGACGACACGACGTCTGGCTGTTTCCTGGTTTTTTTTTGGCCCTTGCTAGCTGCTAGCTGCTAGCTCTGGCAGACTCATCATTGTTCAGTTTGAGCGTCGGCGAGGCAGAGGCCTGACGTCGACGTCAGGGTGTGGCTTAGGCGCGCCTTGGCGTCTGCTTTTCTGGAGCTCCCAGCCGGAAGCGCAGCCCAACAACGGCATCCCGGCTGCTTTTACCAGTCCGCGTCCGCGTCGCCCGCTATTCGACGCTGGCTGCGAGTCTGGCTGCGGGCCCGGTGCCGGGCTTTTCACATGCCCCCCCCAAATTCCCCCCTTCGCCTTCGCATTCCAGGTTCCCAGTGGCGGACCCTCGGAAACGTCATTGTACATGCTGCAGGGCCTCTAACGCCCGCGGGGGCCCGTTGGTCTGGTGTTTGGCTTATATGAACACAACACCCTCTACTAGAGTAGTTATGATGTGTTTATCTACATCTTCAGCACTACAGTCCATGCAATGCGTCCGCAATTCGTCTTCGCTGTACGTTGCGACACAGATTTCCACCCCGCACGTGGCCTCCTTGAATGAAGTCTGCCCTGGGACCTGAATATGGCGCGAACTCAAAAAAGAAAATCCCGACTTGTGCCGTGGCAGCTGAATCATGAGCACACACCCGCTCCTCACGAACCAATCAGCGGACCTACTCAGATTGGGTTCCGGGCTCGTCTTAGATCAGCAGTCGTCTTCGCAAGAAAAGGTCTCCATAAGTTTTGGATACGAGTGACCCTTGAACTCCAGGAGACGCCGGACGTGCTCCAGCACAAGTTGCATCCGTCTTACATCCTCCCAACGCCAGTACATGCCTCGTAATTCATCGCCACATCCGCTCATATGCCCTTCGACGAGCAAGGCTTTGGTCATTTCAGCCACCAAAGAAGTCGCCCAGCTCCGCGCCCTCCTCTTCCGTGACAGCGAGCTCAAGCAGCTCGTGCGCCAGCTCTGCCGTCTCCTCACTGACCCCTTCCTCGGCAAAGTTGAGCCTCGCTAGACTCAGCAGATACTTCTGGGTGCCACCAGTGAATTTAGCTAGTTTGTTCGATACATTAATACTGTTTCTGTTGTCCTTGTTCGTGATAATCGTATGTAGTAGGAGCATCGACTGCGCAATGAGCGTCTGTAGCTCATCAGGATGTGACGGCGCCACGCTCGACAGGCTTGCTTCTGCGGGGGTGCTTTGCTTCGGTGACAACGGTTCCAGATCAGGGAGCACGTATGATGAGGAGGCGTAGTTCCCGTCGTACATCTCGTCAATCGACCAACTGAGGAACATGACGAGCCTGGGAATAGCATAGTCGTGGGTCGCAAGCTGGTTCATCCCGAACGGCGACCGCGCAAATGCTGCTAGCGTTCGTAATATGGCAAAGCATACAGACCGGCCCTTTTCAGGCCCAGCATTCCATTGGCGGGTCTCGATGAGGTGGAAGGTAAGCCGCTCAATGGTTGCAGGGGCCACAAGATCCATGGTGCGATTCGGCGTCGTCGATATTGGGCCGATCGAGTCTTCGAATGATGAGGTGCATAAAAGGTGCATCGTTGTGATGAAGTCGTCTACTGGCTGGTTGTGGTTACGGATCATCATCAATATGAAGTCGGGGTGAACACAATTCCAGAAATGCACAATGGAACTTGATAATGTCCCACGCATGGGCGGCGTTGTCGCACAGCCAAGTGCAGTCAGGTACAGCACCGAGAGTATGGCGGATGTTGGGATGTTCTCCTTCAGATTCAAGAACGTGGCGTCCGCCGGGTCTCCCGTCGTGCTCTGGTTATGCAGGCGCGGTGTTCCTATTTCATATAAAGAATCCATGGCCGCCGCAACCAAAGCTTCGGCAATGTGAGGTGCGATCGCAATGGTGTTGAGTTGTAATGTGAAAGCGACCAGAGAAACAAGCTCCGAAATAGGGGCCAGCTGCGGTCCGTTAGTCTCCAGGTTTCGACCTCACAATCATGATCGCAAGCGGGATCTCAACTTACACATCCCTCCTTCCGACACTGTAGCCACAAGTCGATGACCCGATCACAGAATTCGATCGGCAACCGCATTGAGTCGCTGGGGTCCCCGATCACGGCCAGCTTCTGGAAGAGGATTGATGCCAGACTGTCGGTAGGCTTGGAGGGTAGGGCAAACCCAGCCAGGTAATCAAAGGTCAAAGGCCTTCCCTTGCCAGAACTATGATTGAGAATGATCTTCAGGAACTATTGGCCAGTGTCAGCAGAGTGAGTCTCTTAGCACACAAGAGGCAAGATGTGCTTTACATCGTCGAAGAACGACCTTCTTGGAGGCGGAGTGGGCGCCAGTGCCGCGTTGAAGCTCTTGGACACAGCATTGCTATCGCCTTCGTCGGCCATGACCACATCGTCAGTGGTCTCGAGTGCCATGACGGGACTGTCGACAGTCATAGGTCGTTTCCTTTTGCCTTTGGTCGGCGTCCTAGTGAGCCTAGCTGGAGGATCCGGCATGACGCTGGCAACACCGCCTTGATTCCGGCCCCTGTTGCCTCGGCTTGGACTTCCGGCCATCTCAACATCTTCGAAACCATCAGAAACGCCCCAGGCCTTAGCAGCTGGGTTCTTCTTGGGGGTACCACCGTCCCTCTCTTTCCTCTTGGCGCGATCGAGCTCCTCTCGGAGGTCTCGTCTCGTAAACTCCAGCTCCGTAGCGGCCGTCTGCTGGGCAAACTTTGCAGCCTCGACGGCCCTCTCCGACTTGGCAGCCAGTTCGGCAGATTGTTTCTTGAGGGCCTGCAGTTCCTGCTCGTGCTCCCGCTTGTGCCTCTCCATGTTCTTCCGGACGATATCGATCTCTCCATCGCGATGGGAGACCTTCTGGCGAAGGTTGAGTAGCTCGGCCTGCAGAGCGGCAAACTCCTCAACCGATGGGCCCTCGCGCGGGGCAGCTTGGGAGGCCTGATATCGAGACGGGACGGCAGTGTTGGGTCGAGGCAGAGGCGGCGGGCGCATAGGAGCATGTCCCGCAGGCTGCGACGGTCTCGTTCTCAGAGTCACCTGGGCAGGCGGGCGGCCCGTGGTAGTGATCGCCTGGGGGCGGAATTGGCTCGCCGATGCTGGCGCGTGAGTAGCCGCCCATCCATTCTGCTGAGACAGCTGCTGCGGAACAATTCTCGAGGATGTTGTGACGTAGGGGTCTGCGGTGGCAGCGGAGGGCAACAGGGACTTGCCACGGAGGTCGTCAGTGACAATGGCATCGTCCAGGTCGTCGTCGTCGTAGTCTTCATCTTTCAGACTGGCCTGGGTCGGGTCGGCCAGCTTCTGGGCCTGTGTGAACTGGATGGCGCCGTTTTCGAGCTCGTCGAGGACGTTCGCGTTGAGGTCGTCGAATCCATCATCTGAAAAGTCGTCCATGGCGACCCATTGAGCCCAGGCATTCCTACCAGCAGCCCATTGGTAGCAGAATCACACGCCGAATACTGGTTCGTCCCTAGTCCGCAAGGCCGGCAGCCTGGCTGGGAAATTGCTTTTGCTTTTGTTTTCGTCGGGAGTTGACCAGCTTATCGTCGCTTATCGACGTTGCGCCCGCAACACCAGGGCCGCGTTGGCCGCCTAGACGCGACTTTCGAAGCGCGTAGAGTGTCTTTGCCCCCCACCTGCACAACCACAGGGGCCGACTCGGGCAAGTAACTACTAGTTAAACTATAGTTAGGTCCTTACTTAGGGGCCTCACACTTCTCACTAGCACCCGTGGACCCCTGCAGCAGCGAAGCAGCAAACCATCCCCACCCCCCTGCCCCTATTTCTATTCCAAAGATGGGGATTGAAAGCGGCGACGGTTCCTTTCGGCCAGCCTCGCGGTTGCTTTGTTCTAAGGGCAACTTTTCTAGCTCGAGTCTCAACTGAGAAGCTTCTGGTCAGTAAAATGGCCAACTGGTCGCATTTGTTGACTTCGTGCGCTGTGGCTTGCGGCTTGTGACCCACGGGTACCTGCGGCTACCAGGCTTGCAAGTTGCCATGCATCGTCGGCTACTGAATGGTCATGCATCTGAGGATCAGAGGATGGCTAGATGCTAGAAGCGTGTCTCATCATGCGTGTCTGGTAGGAGAATGGTTCATGCCCGTTCACCAAATTGCTTTTCGGGACATGTCTCGTCTCGAAAGCCACCATGTCGATTCAGGACATGTGTACTGAACACGACGACCACGAACGCAATCGCGCCTGCTCGGCGTTGTGTTTGCTTGACTCCCTAAATGCCCTGTCCGTGTGAGACGTCGCTCAAGACGTCGGATTTGATGCCTGGCTCAGCGCCATTCAGTTCCGGCAGAAATCAGTCGTCTGTCGACATCCAAGATCAAGATATTAAATAGTCCTCCACCCCTCCCGCCCATCATCACGCAAGCGCCATCACAGTCGATCAGCGTCTGCCACCACAGATTGTCGCGACACCATTGACCAGCCGAGCGAGCCAAGACCCCGTCATGGAGGAACTGCACAGGGGCGTCCTGCTCAACCGACAAGGCGATGATGCACCATCCGCCGATGCCGAAAATACATTACACCCGACCATGGAAAGAGTCGAAAATGGGACGTTCCTGTCTCCCACAGTCACCAAAGCACTCGACGAGCTTAATGCCACGGCCACGCCTATATCAACCGAGCCTGAGACTCATATACCCTTGGTCGGGAATACTAGCACTTATGCATTCCGGATCATCATCTGCAGTCTCGCGGCGCTAATCCTCATCCCGGCCGTAGCGGTGATTATATTTATCTACGTTCGTCGTTGTATCGGACGAGACAAGCCATATGGAGGCACCCAGGACGACGAGGCGCGTGAGCCCATGTACCGTGACTCGATCCAGCTCAAAGACTACGAAAGCGAGGGGGACGAGTCCAGTACTGGCGACCTAGCGGCTTCTTCTCCCAGCAACGATACACCCGCCGGCTATGTCGATGTTCCAATTGGCAAGGCTGGGCAGTAAGTGATGGGGCTCAAATAGAGGGAGCAAATGAAGACTCGAGGTGCGCTTGTGGAGGCCGGAAGGAAACTCATGGGCCAGCTTTAACCAAGTGTATATTAGCATCGCATTCACGGACCATACTAGGCGTATGCTGCGGCTTGCTCCAAGGACACTGGCTTTGATAATCTTAAATGTAACGTTAGATATCCCGCAGTCATGTAACAGGAATTGAATTATTCTCTCTTGCGCTATACTTCCTCTGAGTTGAGAAATTACTGGCTTGATAGAGAATCACATAGCATTACAAAGTTCTTAAATCCGCGTACTTGCAACGTGGCTCAGGCATTGCCTTGACTTTTACATGAGCTATGACGGCTTTGGAATACGTCCTAATGATATGTGAAACACCGTCAATGCCTCACTCTCCATGATTGCCGAATCATACACTTATTCATTCCACAAGGTGGCCGTTAAGCCAAGTACATCAAAGCGGGCACGGCAACAGCCAACAACTGACCAATGAACGACACAGAGTTCATAACGGAAGCTGACGAGGCCGTGGTAGAACTGGTGGACTTGCTCGAGGAGCTGGATGATGTGCTGGACGTACTGGAAGAAGTACTGCCAGAGCTGGAGGAGGTAGCGGACGAAGAAGAATTGGAAGATGTGACATCAGTGGTGTTGCCGGCGCTGGTGGTATCGCTGATGCTGCCAGTCGACGTGGTGTTGGACGTTGTAGCACCCTCAGCATCGATCTCAATGCTGCTGTAGCTTCCGGTCAAGTCACCGTAGGTATAGGTGGAGCCGGGGTTGTAGTTGTTGATGCTGATGCTCTTTACGTGCATGGTGAAAGGGCCATCAGCATAGTCCGTCTCACCTCCAGCCCACTCAATGGTGCCCTCACTGCCGCTGTCGCTGGCGGACCAGGAACCAAGCTTGACTCGCATGGGAGTCTGAGGGTAGTTTTTGCCGTCCACAGCATCGGCGTAGTTCAACGTGCGGACGGCGGAGCCGTCAATGTACCAGGTGGTGTGGGCCGAAGTCCACTCGATGGTGTAGTTATGCCAAGTGCCCTGCGAGTCGCTAACCGTTTCGTAGGTGCCGCGGTCGTAACTGGTTGTGTTACCCTTGCCAAAGTAGTTGGTCTGCACCTGGTCGACATCGCCACCAAGCCACTCCCAGTCAATCTCGTCAAGGTCATCGGACTCCAAGATGACGCAGCTCACAATACCGGTTCCGGATGAAGCCTTCACAACAGCCGAAACGGTCCCGAAGAAGAAGTAGAAGTTCGACTGCATGGTCGGCGCATTTCCAGACTCAGTGATAGTGAAAGTAACGCCATTGTCATCGTAGCTGGCGTTGCCATAGGTCATCTTCCAGTCATCGCTTTCACCCTCGGTAAAGTCGACGGTGTAGGAACTTTGGTTGAGGCCAACATCGGAATCGCATGTTTCTAAGCCGCAAATTTAGTTCCACGTGCGAAAGAAGAAAGGAGGGAAAAAATGGCGTTAGAATTGCTCACTCTCAGTGGGGTTGCAGTCGGTATAAGTCTGTGCAAATGCCACAGCGGGCAGGAGGAAAACAGTCAATTTGTTAAACTGCATTTTAACGAGTGTCAGGGTGAATGGAAAGCGAGTGACTTTATGAATTGGTAGCAAGGTAAGCAGATCTTGGGAAGTTCAGATGGACGGGGTCCAGGTGCTTCATATGTGTCGTGGAGACATGGGGATCATGACATTAGTTTCCCGCAGCCATATTACAATGATTCCATTGGTACTACTGGTGGAGCACTGGGTGACTCGTATCCAGGCCATTCGTTCCGACGACGACTTCTGCCATGATCAGGTTTGGGGAGGTTGCCACAGGATGCGGGCTGAGCACTGTTCACCTTGCCGTCAAGTCCTTGATGACCGCGTTGGTGTCCACGTAATGCATGTGGATCTTGGCAGATTTCGGCCCGCGCTAAAGGGTCCTCGACTATGCACCGGGCCAGTCATCAAGCGCGGCTGTTCCTCTCTTTACGGAAGAGCGTTCGTATTACAAGAATAGATTGACGGAACTCTTCTAAAGGCAATTTTGTATCTGGTAACGGTGTAAAGAATTGGCCCTGCATGTTGAGAGTTAGCGTCCTCACAATGGCTGAGCTTCGCACTTGATGGACTGGCTGTCTTGATGGTGGCATAAAAGCGGGCCCTTTTCGATTGACGACAAGGCTAGGCCCGAGTACATGCATGTTGACTTACTTATGCCGAATTTCCGTAGGAATGAACGAGCCGTACCATGCAACGTGTAGCGCCCTGAACATGTTGAAACAGTGTTGTCTTGAACTCAACGATACCCACAGTAGATATCCGCACGAGCACTGACTTCCCCAGATCTTGGCTTCCACTTCAACTAGAGCCACCATTTCCCCAGTCAGGGTCCATCAAGATCTGAGACTTTCCCTTTATCTGATTTCATGATTCTTCATTTTATTTGGGACTGTTGCATATGTCTACGTTGTGCCGGAACTTGGCCAGCTTGTAAAGCGGTCTATTCCAACTGGCGTGTCTAAATCCTTCTTCAAGGGGAGACCCGTACGCCACCCACAATGTCTGGTTCTGTTTCCCTCCTCTGTGACACGAGGGGAAGACTTGACCTTTCAAGTTTCTTATCATAATATGTACATTAAACTCAATGTAGTCGTAACCATTAGAGGATAAACCGGCTGCGCCTCGTGGCACCAGTCTTTGTCTCGATCAGAAGGCATTCAGCTTTCTCCGGGCGGATTACTGATTCCGGTAGGCGGATGCTGTGAGATCTCACTCGATGTGCCTTCTTCCTTCTCATCCTCCTGTTTGCAGCGAGTATCCCAATTGGACTCAAAATCGAACTCATTGTGCAACTTTGCCGATGCCTCAACGTCATTTCTTGTGCCGTATTGCCAGTCAAGTTCGGCAACGGCTCGTAGTGTCCAGTGGTGAGTTGAACCGACCACTTTGAGATTCCAATCAAGCCTCTTCCGGAAGAAGGATACGATCTCCTCATAAGTTCCGATTTCTGTGAGAATTATGCACGTCACGTTATAGTACTCGTTGACCGTGAAATCTGTCATGCCCTCAGCACCTGCGTCAACAAATCGGCCGACTTCGCCCAGAATATCAAGTGCCTCTACGTATTTGCCGTTGAACTTGTAGATGAAAGCTAGCATCTCTTTAGCCCAACAGACGAAGTCCTGAACAAAATTAGGAAATGCTAACGGACAATATCCAATGGCCGGACGGTACTCACGTTTGTGTCAGGTAACCCTCTGCTTTCCCTTAGTTTGATTGCTCTCGCAATATCTCGTTCCGCCTCAGCTGTCGCGAGATACCCGTAGCAATGCACTTGTCTTGCGGTATCAACTTGCTGGCACACCATAAACTCTGCTTCGGGTGCGAAGTACGTCTCGTATGATGCCATCTGAGCTTTGATTATCACAGCCGCAGACTTTCGAACCTGGTCTATGCCAAGACAACGTAGGCTGGTCCAAAGTCTACTATAAGGATGTGCTGGTCCCAGGCAGATCTGGCACAATCCACTGATGTATCGAAGTATCGAGTCTGCCAGATCAGGGCGATCCTTCGAAAGTGCGAGGTGTGTAATTAAAGTTTCGATCATTAGAAGCGGATGCTCTTTCTTAATAAGGCGCTTGTACCCTTTCAAGCAGCTGTCCAGTAAGCGGAAGGCCTCCTTCATCTTCCCATTTTTCATCATATTGTTGCACACAAGGACTTTGTTCTGCCACGAATCCGAGTAATCATCGGATACAAAGTCAGAGGTCCGGTCCCAGATGCCCGCTTGCATCCGGTTCTGACTATAATCCAGTACCGCCACCAGGGAGTTTTCGACGTATTTGAATTGCAATGGAGCATCCAACCTAAATATTGATGGGGGTGGGCTTTGTGATTGTATCCGCGGCGATCTAATCATTGCTTGGCGCGTTGCAGGCATACCTGTGAGTGTTGCATACTCCTCCGGGAGTTTGCGGCGCAGCTCCCGCTTTAGCCTCTCGGGTCCAGCAAGACGGCCACGAATGAGTGGCACAACAATCTTGCCTTCTGCAGCTTCCTGTCTGACTTGCTCGACCTTATCGGCCTTGAGATATTTTGTAAGCCCCCACTTCTTTAGTCTAGCTTTATACATCTTTTTTCTTCGCGCAATTAGCTCACTATTCGACGTCGTGGGCTTGGCTAGTCTTACGTTGCGTGAAATCCGTGTTTCTGGCGCATAATCTCTGCAACCTCGTTGAGTGGACGATCTTGGTCCCAATAGAGTCTCGCGATCGTTTCTTTCAAGGGCTCCCAATCTTGGGGCCTGGCCCACTCGGGCTGGGTGTTAGTCTGCTCCATCTCGAATCATACGTGTAACCACGGCAGGTTGGCAGGTCACAGCCCGCAACTGTTGGCCTGGATTATCAATCTTGGGAATCTTTGAGGGCTGAGGGGCAGGCGTGACAGGGGTAGCGGATCGAGCCTTTTATTTTAGGTTCTCAGCGGGTACCTTTGGACAGCCCATGTAACATTGGCAAAATTTGGAAGCCAATCATCAGCTGCGCTTCATTTAGGCGGTGGCCCTACAGGGCTTGACTTGGGCAATGCTCCGACGGATTGAGAGTTCTTGTAGCCATGCTCAGTGCCACTGGCAATTGAACCGAAATGTCGAATTGCCAATTGCTCCACAGGCGTCGCTGAAACTAGGTCTGAAGAACTCAATTAGGAACTTTTGTTCTGTAACACGAATTACCATGTCGCCAGGCACAAGCGGCAGGGGTACGATCCTTTACATGTTCCCAAACAACGTAACGAACTTGCGAGTAGAGGTGTACCCAGATATAGGATGACGCATCAAGTAAAGCGTACTTTGCGATAAACTTGTATCCCAATTAGGATGCTTATGAAACCTCTTTCAAGAGCCATACTTTACCGTTGAATTGGCCTACAGAAAGTCTATCAAGCCTGCGAGTTACATGTATTCAACGTACTGCAATATCTCTCCAAATTTATATCACCCAAGATGTGTATGCCAAACCCCGGCTTGGCATGTATGACATGGAACCTCGTTCTCAACAGGAGAGAGCAGTAGATTAAACTGGAATATGATAGTCGCCAGATCTGACCGATTTATGTACTGAATGAGTCCTGGTAGTATCCAGCTCCAGGTAACAGTGCGAGATGACATCAACGTTATTGACACCTTCTTGAGGGCGTCCGTATGCCCTGCCAGAGCGTACACGCGGAACCCGCTCCCCTACAGAGAGCCGAGACATGAATACTGATTGAAGCTTCGAGTGAAGGGACGTCTTTCTCAGATGGCGACTCCAGAAGGATCTGATGGCAGGTGCGCTACCAACTATCAGAGCAACGGCATTCTCTAGCAGTCTGGCTAGCATTAGGCTTGTAGTTTCATACGCATCACATATACTCACTGTCCTATCATTGGACCAACTCGATTCGTCTGAACCCCCAAGAGAGCCGTAAGCCTGTAGTAAAAAGTGACAGCACTGGCAACAATAGCTCTGCAGTTGAAAAGTTTTCAGCGTTCGTTTATATCAAGTCTCCAATGCTTGGTATACTCACAGAATGCCCGTAAAGAAAATGATGGCCAAGCCAACCTTCTTGTGAAGTGGTAGCTGTAGGTTGAAAATGACAGGAAGAGGAAGGATAAAAATGATGACGTCGCAGATGACGGATATTGCACCAGTGCAGACACCCACCCCAGTGGAGTGAATGATGCAGGTATTGATAAAATCCACGCCCAGGGTTTTGCCATTGGGACTACAAACGACAGTCCCATATATCGAGCCAACTATCAAAAGAGTAAGGGGTACTCCCAAGGCAAGATATGAAGTGACTCGCAACCAGTTCTTTACCCCAAAAAGGTAGATATACAAAATGAGAATAGGGGCTTTCGCAAGCCAGCTCCCAAGCGGGCCGAACCACGTTGTCGCTATGATGTTCTACAAATTGCCAGGGTTAGCTGCCTCGAAAATTGAATCAAGACTTTAGCAAGAAAATTGAGCTACTTTACCCTTGAAACGTACTCTAAGGTGACCGTTTGAGTAGCCACTGGGAATTGGTCAGTCTACAATGGTCGATTTCATCGTCTACATATAAATGGGGCTTACGCTGCCGCTGAACGACCATCAATCCAGCATAAATAACTAAAAAGACGATTGCAAGAGCAGATAGCCCTATATATTTGAATGAGCTCAACATATCGTGTAACTGTATATTGAAAGGATAGTGGCTCACAATCGTCAGCTCGCAACTTGTTTCCTGAACTGCACCGCTCGCTGATGCGAACGGTAACGAATATCATAGGCACAACAACCTTTGCGACAGTCAGAAGTTGCAAATCTTGTTAAGACCATACAGGCCGGGAGACCCCTTCAAAATGCACTGGAGAGGAGAAATAGGACTATGGGAGGCGCATACTGATACTATGACTACGGCTAAGAAGCCTTCAGGCGCAACTTTGTCTTCGTAGGCGGGAATGGACATGTTGACAACTATGAAGAAAATCGCAAAAACTACAATAGACAGTGTCGTGGGGTGATTCGCAGGAAGGAGGGGTGTAAGGATTCCTTTAGTACCAATCTTGCATGCGGATCGCATTGATATTTGAGCTGGAAGAAGAGGGAAACCCCGGGGCTTATGGGATGACTTAAACCATCAAAAGTTAAGGATTAGGCGCACAGAGGTGTGAGGATGGCTGACATGCATACACCAAGCCAACATTGGCGCGCTGTTGTGTCACCTAACTCTGATGGACGCCCAATAAGATTGGGGCCCAGTGCTGCCCGGTCGTTTACCGCCCCCACGATATTTACGTCTGGGGACATACGTCGGCGAAGCGCGTATAATTGGAACGCCAATGTGACACAAGTGTTTACGATAATGGCCCGTGCCGCCGACGTAGGATTTGCAAGCACAATGTGCAGATTTCGGGATGAGCCGGCGGGTAGGCTGAGCTGGGCCATAACATCGCTTGCTATGCCCTCACGATTGACACCCGTCGGCCATCGATAGCAGACTTTTTTCTAACTCAGGTGGCGGAAACTTAGGAAACTCATATTGGAACTCCGTAATTTTCCGTTTATGCCATAATAAGATTCAGGTGCCGTCCCTTGGCGGCGGGTTATATGCCAAAGTTGCAACATATATGTCTTTGTTGTATCTGAAGCAACTAGACTCAGTTGCATTAGACTATGGCGATGCACAACATGACTGCAGTATGAAGAATTCTACATATTTTGCTATATGTGATGAAAAAAGCCATGCTTTCAACTTGGATTTCACCACAATGTCCCCATTTATTCTCTATGACGGCGACTGGGTCTATGTAAATCAATTATGGTAGCTAAAATATAAACCCTGTCCATCTCATGCGCTAATGGGCTTCAACAGAGTTACCTAGGTAGTATGCACAGTCTCCACACGTAAATGTGAGATAAGACCTTCCGGAAAGCGCGAGCGCATGGTCTATCAGTGCGGGGTCATATGTGACCGTGATGGGTATGCCTGGAGACTTTCACGTACGTAATAATCCCATGTCAGAGGAGTACACTACGTGTTCGATAACTGTCAAATTGAAGTCTTATAGCATCTGATGTTAGACAAGTCCCCGGCCGGAACCATCGCCACGTCGTGCTCGTCTTTACTGCACGATGAAGGAAGAGACCTTCGCCTCGACAGACGAGATCCAATTGGCACAGCTTGGTCATGGACAATCCTTCAAGCGAACCTTTAGTCGTTGGACAATGCTAGGCCTGGCCTTTGCCATCCTGAATTCATGGACTGCACTGGCTGCCTCTCTTTCCCTCGCATTGCCATCTGGTGGCTCGGTCTCAGTTATATGGGGGCTCGTCACTGCTGGAGTCTGTAACTTGTCCCTAGCCGCCAGCTTGGCCGAGTTCCTGTCCGCGTATCCTACCGCCGGTGGCCAATACCACTGGGTCGCTATGGTGGCTCCTCCGTCTGTCAAGAGACACCTATCATGGGTCACGGGCTGGATCAACCTATCGGGTTGGGTTGCTCTTGTTGCGACGAACAGTTCTCTCGCAAGCACTCTGATTATCAACATCGTGGCGCTTCTCTATCCCGAGTTTGAACCTCAACGGTGGCACCAGTTCTTGATATATCTTGGCATTACGTTTCTAGCATTCTGTGTCAACGCTTTTCTGGTGTCACTATTGCCGAGGATCAACAAGTTTGCGCTGATTTTCAGCATTCTTGGCTTCTTCATCATTTCAATCACCCTTCTTGCTTGCGCAGCGCCAGATTTTGCGACGCCTGAATATGTCTTCGCTACGTTTATCAATACGACGGGGTGGCCAGATGGAATTGCTTGGCTTCTTGGTCTCCTACAAGGAGGCCTGGGTCTGACGGGCTTCGACGCGGTGGCTCACATGATTGAAGAGATCCCCGACGCAGCTCGTCAGGGGCCGAAGATCATGCTCGACTGTCAATACATCGGAATAACTACAGGGTTCTTGTTCTTGGTTGTTCTATTGTTCGCATCTGGTGGCGTTGACAATGCTCCGGACGTGATTGGGTCTTCTGCTGGACCACTGCTAGAGATTTTCTATCTCGCAACGAACAACCGAGCAGGTTCCGTGTGTCTTCTTATGTTCCCGCTCCTATGTTTGGTGTTTGCTGGAACCGCTTGCTTGACAACTTCGTCACGCATGATATTTGCATTTGCAAGGGATGGCGGGCTCCCTGGCTCGAAAAAGCTCTGGGAAGTCCACCATGCACTCCAAGTGCCTTTGAATGCTTTGTATGCCAACGTGGGAGTCGTCGTCATTTTCGGATGCATTTATCTTGGTTCAACAGTTGCATTTAACGCTATTATCGCATCCGCAGTTGTTGCTTTGGGGCTGAGTTATGGAATACCAATAGCCTTGAACTTGGGATACCTCCGACGAAAGCTTCCGGCAAGAAAGTTTACGCTCCCCGACTGGATTGGGTGGACTGCTAATATCATTGGTGTGGTTTACACCATTGTCACCACTATCTTGTTCTTATTTCCTCCATCGGTTCCGGTTGACGGCACATCAATGAATTACTGTGTCGTGGCCTTTGCTATCATCATCATCATCTCATCATTCCAATGGGTAGTAGACGGAAGGAGGAATTTTGGAGGGCCCCGCATAACAATCGACGGGGAGGTTTCCCAAGGACTAGGCGCATCTTCTCGACAGGAGTAACAGTAGCTTTACTAGGATATTGAAATTAGAACGTCCAAAACCTGCTTGTCCCCGATCCTTTATCACGTTCACGCCTAACCTTTCCAATTAGCACAAAGGGATCGGCGATACGGGAAGGCAGATCCACTAACTAGGCGCCACATTGATCCGTGAGCAATTTGACCACCTTTTTTATTTTTATTTTTTATTTTTATTTTTATTTTATATTAGAATCAGCTACTAATCGTGAACCTGTCATGGACTGTTTATCTCTACGTCACAAACTCGTCTCAAAAATCTTGAGTAGACCCTCGTGCAACAGCGCTTGCCAGAAGTCTACTCTTGAATCGCACTTTTCACGAGTTTTTCCACTGATTGTGGTGAGGACCATTTACTGTAGCAAGTACCTAGTGACTTATGTTACGTCGCTCATG